ATAATTAATTAAATGGCCAGAGGATGTTTTAAAAGATTTATTAGAATGTGTATTCTAGAGAACATACCTTTTATTATCTCTCAATACCTAAACATTCTGGCCTATATTCATATGGAAGCTGTAGCAGATTAGTCTGGCAAAATTTCACTGAAACTTGTCTAAACCCACAAGCCACAGATTTGCACCTAAATACTAGTGATACAGTGTCAAGCTCTCAACACTATTGCTTCTCATGTACTTTAAGTACAAGTGCATTTATCTTGTAGCACAGTTTTATCCCGATCACCTAAGCTCACCACCCTCAAGAGTTCTGACAGATAATGTATGTCTCCAGTCTGAAAGTTATTGACTTGCATTTAGCTCCAGAGTCTGTAGCTGGAGGAGAGCTTGTCTGATAAAAGCATAGTACTGCTATGCACAGTCCTCATGTCACATGCCATTAGCCTGCTTTACTTGTGTTGATTTAGAACTTCTTTCTACTTCAAATACTATTGTCACAGTTCTGCTAGCAGTCTAGTCGTTTCTTTATCTTCTGTGTAGAAACATTGTCCGACCTGCTACTTTTGTCATTCAGCAGTGTTCACTTAAAAAAATCTAAATAAACTTCTTCCTTTACAGTCTCCAGCAGCCAGACAACTACTAGAAATTTTCAACAGGACTTTCCTGGCAGGTTTGCACTAGAATAGTATAAAGGTGCACATAAATCATCCATTCAGCTCTAAGTGATTTTGTTTAGAGCCGATTAGCCAAGACCAGAGGTTAAAAGTTACAGGAAGCAACTGATCTGAGTTAGTAAAGACACTCAGATAAAAGTCACTACAGAGGAAATACTTTCTTGTTATAAATATCAAGATAATTTATATTTTTATATAAGTATTTAAAAACAAGAATATCGTGTCTACTGAAAAAAACCTCAACAAGTTGCCCAGTAGAAAACTCCTCCTAATCACCTGTGTCTATTCAGGTTTCTGTTATCAGTCATGACTAATCTCTGGGGCAGATGTTTTTCATTTTTATTTGCTATATGATTGTCTCACTACTAACATAAGATAGCTGATAGTAGTAATGATTGGCAAGCTATTTTTATCTGAAACATAACTCTATTTAGATTAAGAATTTATAAAATTTCTGAGACAAAAATTCCAGGACTTTTTACATATAAAAATGTTTCATATGCTGAGATATGATTTTTTTTCTTATTGTACAATTAACTGCAGGTATCAGCTGCTTGTCACACTTTTGTTAGTGCTTAGCCACAGAAATCTGATGTTGTGTTCTACGATTCAGTTATTTTGTTGCCTTTAGCCAGAACTGGGGGTTTTTACTTCAGAAACCTTGACATTTTGTAGGTACTAAGTGCTTTTCCATTCAGTGCACTAAGTGCATTCAGTAGCTTTTAGCCTTTGAGATACTTTCAGCTTTGCATATTATGATCTAAAATATCCAAAAATGAGAAAGACGGTAGCGACAGCTATAATCATGAGACTGACCTCATGTAGACTTCACTATTAAACACTTCCCAGAACCAGGAGGAAGAGTAATGAGTAAGCTGTTGTGCTGGTTTAAAAGTTAACCAGCAAGGCAAAATGAACTCAATTCA